GTAAATCAGATCAAAATTACAAAATTTAAATTTCAATCCAGCCGTGTTAGTAGATAAAAATTGTAGCTATATAGTATTATTTTAATAATATTAGTTTAGTTTTATAAATAAGACATTAATATTAGTGTCAAGTATTTTTATTATCAATCCACCAATTGTTTATTCATTATGTATAGAGATTTAGAAGTATACAGGTATTAAAAAAAAAACAATCTGGGATGGCTTTTAGAAACAATTCCCCAAATGAGATTAGCAGCGACAATTTAATTCCAATTCATTTGTTTTGTTCGACGGTGTAGTGTCTCTGAGAGTCCCTCGGGCGTGCACGCACGGCCCCGACAACCCCGCCCTCACAAACTAGACGTTACAATTTTTATTTGATTTAAGTAAACCCCATTGTATCTTTTATACTAAAAAATATTTTACCCAAATTACATTTTCTGATAATTTTCATGAAAATCCCTCAAATATAGTTGGATTGGATTGTGTTGTTCAAAACACTTTAGGTAAAGAAAAAAATAATTAAATAGTTTATATTAGGTAAGTTTATTTCATAAGCAGTAGGTAGCTCATTTGAACACCCTCAATATGCAAACAACGTAAAGTGAGTTCAAACTTCATGCCTCGCACTTCTGAAATTTTCATGTGCGAATCTCATCAGAAATCTAGCATTTCTGGGAGAACCTAACCAGTTTTCAAACGACATATGATCTTCGTCATAACGCATTTAGTCTGTGGTGTAGACACAGTGCACACAGATAAGGAGTGAACGGATTCAAGTAACTATTCCTTATATCATGTTAGATATACTCTCTCTAAACAAACAAATTAGTGTACACTGTACTGCGTAGAAGGTTTTAAGTACTTAAGCCACATATCGTGACCAAGCTTTAGGATTACCAAATCCCATGATAACTAAGCCATCTAAAGCCGTAATTTTCATCTGTAACACAGACCCCAGCGCATGCCGTATCTCCCCACAAGGAATCCGATCAGTAATTACTTCCCCACGGACATAACTAAAACTCCATTGCCACCACTCTATGAATTCTCCCGTTTTCTCCGCAATATACATAATTTCGAGTGCCATGAACGCTTATCGCGATTGCGGAATGTGCGCAGTCACGAAATTTCTTTCTCTATTCAATAATGATACTATTTGTAATTGGATAATGTAAAAGGAGGAAATCATCTTCAAAATTTTCAAATAATAACTGTTCTTCAAATTAACTACTATGAATCTAGATCACATTATAAATACGCTTCGTAACTAGAACTATTGACGTTACTTATTATCCATGCAATTGATATTATAAATGTGAAAATGTGTTTGTTTGTTTGTTTGTCCTTTTTTCACGTTGAAACAGAGTGACGGATTGGCGTGTTTTTTTGTGTGGAGATAATTGGAGAGCTGGAGAGTAACATAGGAGACTGTACCGAAGATTATCTCATTCCCACGGGTATACACGTTATAACACAACCAGAATAAATATTTATGATCAGAATTAAATGAAATTTGATATTAATACTCTTCACTACAATTAAATAGATACATGTTTTAGCATTTTTCGAAATTCATCCTATAAAGAGGTAACATAGGGAATGGAAGTGTTTATAAAACCTACCTTTTTAGAGGTTTTTTGCAGTTTTAGCGCGAGCGAAGCCGCGGGCTCTGCTAGTAACTCATAAAAGGGACGTTTAAACGTTATTACCCGATATATATAAAGCAGGCATAAAATGAATGTTCTTTACTTATAATAGTACAAAATAATCAAATACATATATCTTTACTGCAAAGTATAAATTGCTACTAAGTAATTGGTTAATTCGTGTTTATGTTTACTATCTGTTTAGCATTAATAAAAATTTCCAATTAGGATGACCGCATAATGAATGAAATAGCAGGAGTACTAAAACAGTGAAATTGATCACCCATTAAGTGTTATTTGTTGCTGAAAATAAACAAGTATTATAACCGCCGGCACTTTACCGCTAATTACTATCGATAAATATTATTAATTGCATACTAGTTTTTGGACTTTTGTTGGTTTCGGAGATATTTATTCATAAATTCCTTCAAGTCTAACTTTAATTTTCAACCTTATGGAATAATATAGCAATATGTAAATAATATATTATATCGATTAACAAAAATAGCCTGTATTTTCTGGCCATTTTCAACCGACTTCAAAAAGGAGGTACTCAATTCGGTTGTAATTTTTTTTATATTTGTTACCTCTAGTTTTGGTTGTGTTGATACGTTAGAATTGGATTTTAGAGCTTGATTTTTGGTGTTACTAATAAATGCGAATTTTAGTTTGTCAGTCTGCATATAAAAATTGGCATCAAACTAACTGAAGCGGCTTAAGCGAATATTTTAACAAAATAAATGATTCGCTTAAATGAAAACTACCAATCAGTAATTTATTACTTTTAGTGTTTTTTTTTTGAAGTCAGTTTTGTTTTGTTAATTGAAAGGTAGGTACAGTAAATAAGTAAGGAATCACTTGACTTTATCTGTTATTTTCTACTTATACTTCAATATTACTTTTACTATAGTGATGTTTATGGAAAATATTGAGTTAAAAAGTTTTAAACTAGGTGTTCAATTTTTTATCATAAAAAACTCGCCCTCTATATGTAACAACTACAGTTAAACATGTAGAGCTTCTAGAATATAACATAGCCTTTTTAGTTTTTAGAGCTTTTTTTCTTACATTTAGTATTGTTGTAAATGAAAAAATTGTTGTTGTAGAAAAATAACAAACGACAATTTTTAATTACTGATACTGATCATAAATAATATATTACATCTTTTATTGATTTCTATCACGAATAATAAAAAATATATTTTAATTAATATACATAAACATCGTCAAATTTACGAAAATATAATTCCTAAAAATTATCAAAATTTTGCTTTCTGTTTGATAAAACTGTTATTTTATCAACATCAATAAAATAACAGTTTTTATTTAAGAAATAAGTACTTTATGATACAATTTATGGGGACATCAAATGATCGGGCATTGAAATAACGCACTTAAATATTGGCCATGCGAGCAATAAAACTTTCCTTTTATCTATGAGAGGGTTACAACCGCCATAAAACGATATTTGAGGAGATAAACGTCCGATAATTGTGATATATAATTCGATACGGCCCAAATGTAAAAAAAAATATTCGCAGTCGGTAGGATTCGAACCTACGCTCCCAGAGGGAATCTGATTTCTAGTCAGACGCCTTAACCGCTCGGCCACGACTGCTCGAATATAAATTCTGAATTTTTTAACAGAATGTAAGCACGATAATATTCATATTTAATTAACGTAATAAATTACCACTTTACTATATTATAAGTATTATCAACAAATTGTAATTGGACTAACAAGTTACATATCTAAAATATGTAATAATTAATTGGGTTTAATTCATTTATAACGATAATAATTAATAGCTATACACGTACATAGGTATTAGAAGTTTTGTAAAAAATAAGTGAAAAGTAATAACTCTATTTATTCAGATAACTTTTTTGATTAAAATGTCATGCTTTCAGGGATTTTTCCAACATTATTTTTCTTATGTAGGATATTAGTAAAAACTGATATATTTATTATTAACTAGCGGCTCACCCTTACTTTGCTCGGGTTCGCCTCTAGGAAAACAAAAACAAACCTATCCCACGGGAACCATAGATTTTTCCGGTATAAAAAGTAGCATATGTATTATTTCAGACTATAATCTATCTCTGTGCCAAATTTCATCCAGATCCGTTCAGCCATTCTGGCGTGAAAGAGTAACTAATATCCATACTCACAAACTTTCACATTTATAATATTAGTTATAGATAGTATATATAGACTGTTACTTACATTACAATGTACACTTACAGGTGGAAATATTTGCTACAAAGATGACGACGTAATTACGATAACATCCACGCAACCGTTTGCGCTGCACTATCTATTCTATTTTATTTTTTTTATTTTTTTATTTTAGGTCACTTTTTAACATCTAAGGTCATTAGCGATCACATTGGACACAAGTTACATACAATAATTTATATCAGTTGGTACATATATTTTATCATTTTCAAAAATTTAAGAATTCTCGTACAACCATCTTGATTTAAACAATCCTTTAAATTATTTGGTACATTACATAACCGTTTCTCATTATTATATGCTGGACATTCTATCAAAATATAGTATACAGTCAAATCTAGACCACACTTGCATTTGTTTCTGTCAGCCTTAGTTATTAAATGAATATGTGTCATATTAGTATGACCAATACGCAATCTCGTGATAACTACTTGATCTTTCCTACAGTTAAATAACAGGGGTGATTTATCAAAAATTGAATTCCTAACGTTAAATAATTTTGATGTGTTTCCTGTCTTCCAAAATGTGTCCCAGTAAATTTTAATTGTATACTTTATATGTTTATGTAAATCACTGTGGGTTGGTTTAGTTATATTAGAAATATCATTTTCATTAGTTGCATTTCTAGCTTCACTATCAGCTTTCTCATTACCAGCAATATTTCGATGACTTAGAATCCATATCATTTCAAATTTGTAACCATTTTCTAAGAGATTAATCATTTTTTGTTTAATTTCTATAATAAGAGGATTAATATTTTTTGGATTTTGTAATGCTGTTAGGCATGATTTAGAATCTGAATAAATTATATATTTCATTAGATTAGATTCCCTATGTATTAAATCTAAAGCTCTCAGGATAGCTGTTGCTTCACAACTAAAAATCGAATAATAATTCCAAAGTCTATACCGGTAAGATAAATTTCCAGTTAGCACTGAACACCCTGAACTTCCATTCAAAACTGATTCATCAGTATAAATAAAATGTGATCTTTATATTCATTATGCATTTCATTAAATAAGGTTTTATATGTGGTATCTACTTGCCATGCTATTGATGATAACGGACGTCTTCTTCCACCTTCCCATGCGGTATATAAAACAATTTCAAATATGATGGCGGATAAAGGGTTGGCGATCACGCCCAAGCACATTTATACTATTATCAATAATAATCGTGCTGGTTTTAGAGATCTCATCATGGAAGTTTTCGATATTCGAGAGCGAGAACTGAGCATCTCCGTTAATGATGGCAATTACAGCAACGAAAAGTGTGCAGACCAGACCACCGATACACTGACCAGTTTAACTGCAATAAAGATAAACCTGGTAATTTCGCAGGAGAAATGGCACATTATGAAACCTCAAGAAAAAGTATATGGCAAGCGTATATATGGGAAGTTGCGACAAGGATGGGCAGACGTTGTAGCTGAAGCTTTGTGGTTCATTTATACTGTGTATTTGTGGTCAAAAATCACAATGTATACTTGAGTACTATTTCCACATTTTTCTTGACAATAGAAGGATTCTGTCGCGAATGTCACGCAAAAATCAATTGTACACTATTAAAAAACCAACTAAAGGGGTTGATGTTGTTCTCCAATGTAACGTGGATAGCATTAATCCAGATTTACATTCTGGAAAAAAAAGGAGGCAACTGAGAGGTGCTCGTCGCACTGAAGTGGCAGATTACCTCATCGATGGCGGTAAAGACGCGGTGACATGTCGTCGAAAAAAAGCTGGTCGAATAAAAAATTTGGAGACAAAAATCCACCGATCTTAACGAGTAACGAAGTTGTTCGGAAGGCCAAGGAACAGCGATTATTAAATAAATATGGATTGCAGTTCGGAAACCCTGCATTAAATTTATTAAACAGCGCTGAACACGGCAAGTTGGTTGGCTGCATACAATCCGTCGGGTTGTATCGTTTCAATTGTATACATATATTGGCTACCGGAACAAATGCAAATATACGTCTCCCGTTGTCGGAATGATCCTGCGGCAACATTAGCAATCGATGCTACGGGTGGCATTGCAAAGCGTGATAAGTCACAGAAGCCGCATATTTTTTTATACCAGTGTGTGCTTGTGACGAAAGACGGTAGCGTGCCAACATTTCAAATGGTGTCAGCTGATGAAAAATAGTTATAGCTAGTTTTTTGAGCCATATCCTCGCTGCAAACGCTCCTATTCCGCCGATTGTCGTAACCGATTTCGGGTGGCCTTTGTTGATTGCGGTTGCGCGTATATTTGGCCAATGCGCAAGCTTAAACGATAATCTGTGTTAAAAAGCTGTTGTAAATGAGTCGAAGTCGCTGCCATCGACGTTTATGCGATTAGATGTATGTCATCTTCTAGCAATGATTACACGATGGCCAAGTTTGAAGGGAAACCATAAGTCGTTGGTACGGCGATTTTATAAACGGTGTGTTGGAAAAGCTTGCCAAATCTCGAATCTAGAAGAGTTATCCTACTTTCTAGAATCGGTTCTGGTCATCGCGCTCAGTAAATACATTGGGTCCGGAATAGATAACAAGCCCCTACCATCGGTTGATAGACTACGATTTTTAAATAATAAGATCAAAGGGCTAGCCCTTTGATGATGAAATTATGAGTGATGACGATCCCAATAACGCTGATGAAGCTACGGACAACAGCGACGAAGAAGCTGGTGACGATATGATCGACGAGGAATCCGATTCCAACCCGGAACAGAATGCGGTCGAACCAGGCCGGAAATCGTTAATCAGTCGTTGGAAGGTGATACAATCAACGCTTGTTACAACGTCGATTTCGCTGAAAAGTTAAAAAGGTTCCTCCTTCCATACATACCCCTGTGGACTGCAATCATGGTGCCCATTTACGGAAGAGGTTCAGTGACCGCTACATCCGCCGCTGTCAAATCAGAATTTGCAGATTTGAAACATCGTGAATTTAGGGGTGAAATTCCGATGCGCACTGATCGATTCGTCATACAACATCTAGAACGAATCGACAACAAGATAAAAGACCGCTGCAAGATGTCTGACTGTCCACCAAAAAAGAAAGTAATAATATCAGAGACGAACGATCTTAACGGATCCTCAGACTTTATAGCCGGAAAGCTGCTAAACGCCATGGAAATCGACGATCCTCCTCGACATTCGACAATTCAGCTTGATGAGATATCATTCGAAGTGATGATACCAAATGTGTGTAGTACTCCACGAGAATGTACGGAAAATCAGTCATCACAACTTCAATCTCCAGTATTAGTAACAAAAATACATACCAATACAATTGAATCCCCGCAGTCATTGAAACACTTAGGTTACGAAGCATTCCAATCATCAAGAGATGAAAATATTCCTGCCGACAATGATTGGAATGTTCAAGAAGAATGGAAAGGCTTGAGCAAAAGTGCTAAACAAAAAGAAGACGTCTCCTCGAAAAAAAGCGAGCGAAGCCTTCATCTTTGGATGATTGCCCAGAATGGGATTTTATCAAAGATGCAAAGACTGGCCGAACACCAATTCTCTTGAATGGGAATATCGCAGGATCCGTGCGTTTCAATGACCAATATTTAAACATCACGTCAACTTGTGCCTTTGATTCAATTTTTCAAGCAATTCTTAGCGGGCTGTTGACGAATAAAACATACTCTGACATCCTAAAATCATCGGATTGTCTGATTGTACATTTTGCACGAAGCGTCAGCGATAAAAAAATATATTAAAAGAACATTATGTTCAACGGGTTAAAATTTTGACGGCAATTCCTATTTTTTATGGTATTACGAGGATCTATACGAGTAACCTAAAGAGCTTGTCCACAGAATGCAAAGCTGCTCACTTAGCCCAATTCCTTTTTGAACAATTACCAAGTTACACGTGTCGCGTAAGTTGCTGCTGCGGATGTGAGAACCACTTCTGGTTCTATAACTGAATACACATTTCTAAGTGTTAACATCGACATTATTCTTTGTCACGGTCTCCATCTGATACAAGAAGCTATCGATGAATGTACAGCATTGGAAAGATCATGTTTTAATTGTAAAAAGAAAATACCGTGCTTGAACGAATGATCGATACTACTGTTGTTAGCGATCCTGGATATCCAAACAGAGGAAAGATCATTATACACAGATTAAATTCGCTACAAAAAATTGTCAAAGTTGGTTCGAAGTCTTACACGATAACGGGTGTCGTTGATTACAGTGCGGAAAAAAACATTATGTCGCGTATGTATTGACCGGTGAGTATTGGTATAAATACGATGGGATGAAAAAGAAACGTGAAACAACAAATCCAGACTACAATCATTCCTCATCTTATCATATACGCAATATGCAGTGACCAATGAAAATATCCTGAAAATGGTCACGAGCTTATTTTTCAAAATAACAGGGTGGAAATTACGCATACGTTTGCAAACTGATAAAAAGTATTCAGTTAATTATTTGATTCTTTAATTGAAACACATTTTTTTACATGAGTAGTAAGCAATATATGTTTAGTACTGATATTTATTAAATTATATGTTATATGTTAAAACTTATATATTTTCCAACGAAATACCATTTGCAAAATTGGAAAACTGAGGAAAAAAAATTATAACTTTATTCACAACCTTATTCCTAGTTTTGACAAGGATTCCATGACATATTCAAAAAACAAAAATGGTAATACTTGCTTTTATTTACGCGAATATCTGACATTTTAAATAAAACTATCTTTTCGTATTATTTCGCGGATTTATTTTAATTTTTGGTTTTCGACGAATACTTTACAGCAATCACGGTCACGGTAGAGACTAAAGTTATAGACGTCTTAAAGGCGTTATATATGTACTTGTTACAGACAGTACCTATCTACTTTTTTAGAAAAAATGATGTCAAAAATTCAAAAAAAAACAAAAAAAAGTACCTTACAATATTTGTTGATTTTTATTTCTAAACATTTAATTTTTTTAATCCCTCCACGACCGAGGACACGCCGGCGTCTCAGTTAATAATAGATTTCTTAGAATTTTAATTAATTTCTTAGAAATTTACAAATTTGGAGGTGTTAATAAGTATTATAATTGAATATAGCAATATTTTTTTAATTGAAGCTGTTATTATTATAAATATTACAATATTATAAAAAAACTTTATTAATTACTAATATTATTTAGTGTTGTTATTATTGTTATGTATAACAAGTATATATAACGCCTTTGAGACGTCTATAACCTTAGTCTCTCCAGTGACCATGTAAAGAATTCCAATTGTCGGGAATCCAGAATCAAAATATATCCGCGAAATAATCCGAAAAGATAGTTTTATTTAAAAACAAAGAAAGTTTTCAATGGCTATTGATAAAAAAAAACGAAAAATAGAAAAAACAAAGGAATCCAAACGGTATTCTGCAATAAAAATATTAAAAAAGAAAAAGCATGATTATAAAAAAAATCCTGATGATATGGGAAAAATACAAAAATATATAAGAAAATAAAAAAAAAACAAACAAAAAAAACAAAAGAACAAAAAAACGAAGCCAGTCCTCAACACGTCCACGTCGTTGGCTTTGGGTAACGCTGAGATTGAGGATTCATAAAAGTTGCTTATGACTTTTACAACCAGTTCTGGACTCAAATCGAGTTCTATATTAGAGTTCTGGTACAGATCTGTTATAAACGAAAGAGTTCTAACTTCTAGCCTTTTTAAATAAGTTAAAACAATGAAAGTTGTTTTTTTTCATATTTTCCAACGTTCTGGTATCAGGTATGCTCTGCTGGCACTCGGACGTAAGTTCTGGACTCGAACTGAGTTCTAGATTACAGTTCATATACAGGTCTGTGATAATCGAAAGAGTTCTAACTTCTAACCTTCCTCAATGATTTGAACCGATGAAAATAGTTTTTTTCAACTTTTCATACGTTCTGATATGATCTGCTGGCACTTAGACGTGAGTTCTGGACTCGAACTGAGTTCTAGATTGCAGTTTTGATACAGATCTGTAATAAGCAAAAGAGTTCTAACTTCTAGCTTTTCTCAATAATTTGATACGGTAAAGATAGTTTTTTTTTATATTTTTCCAACGTTCTGATATGATCTGCTGGCATTTGGACGTGAGTTCTGGACTCGAACCTAGTTCTATATAACAGTTCTGATACAGATCGGTGATAAACGACAGAGTTCTAGCCTTTTACAATAATTTGAAACAATAAAAATGGTATGTTCCGACTTTTCAAAAATTCGGATATGATCTGTTGGAACTTGGACGAGAGTCCAGAACTATTAATGAAAAGTATCAGGAACTGTAGAACTCAGCTCCTTGCGCGAAGAACTCACATTTGTTTTTGATTTTTTGCAAAATGATCTGCTACGGGAAGTTAGCAGATCATTTTGTCAATTGACTTTTTTTAAGGTAAAAACGCCAGAACTATTTCTAAAAAGTATCAGGAACTGTAGAACTCACGCGCATGCGAATAGAACTCTCATTTTTTTGATCTGCTGGACATATAAATCCAGTAACTTGTCCCTTCAAAAGATAGTTGAAATGATTCCGGGAGTCGCACTTCATCATCTGGGTTTATATGTATATAATTGTCTTCTGAAGCTTAATATATGGGAAAAACCAGGATCAGCTATTCCTACTTTCATGAACGTTATAGGTGACATTACATTAATATTTAGATCCTTAAATTTTTGTTCAATTACATAGTTAGGTATTACGGGACAGACATTAGATAAACCTATTCTCTTATTTCTTGTAACTTGTAACTAATCTCAAGAATATATTTTTGTATAATAACCTTTTTCTTTTCTTCTACTAAATTGTCAGCTGTTCTTTTTGAATCTAAATATATACAGATACGTGCATTTGATATTCGAGATATGAATCTGATAGATGTAGCAGGTATGAGGGAAGATAAAGCTATGAGGTACTCCCTGAGTGCTATCCCATCGATGGAATCCAGTATTATGGCTTGGTCTTTCTTGGGGAAACATGTTGACGATGTTACATTAGCGTAACTTGCAGTATTAGGTGTTGTTTCTGACGTTGTAGGTAATTGAGACATTGTGGGGTTAGAATAATTTGGGATTGAATACATTTCTATGCAAGGGATAATTTCCTGTTGTCAGGAAAAAACCCTGTATAAGGTTTTCCACTATCTAGGCAAGTATAGTCACTTTACGCTTAAAATAAAACATGACAACGAATCGAACGAGGTGAAACACGCGCGTCCGCTGTATCTACCCGCGCGGAACTATAAGACATTTTTCTTTGACTATGAAACCACCAATTATAATAAAAAATTGGATCTCATAAGTATTAAATAGTAAAAGTATCTTGTCATTTTTATAATGAAGCTTCAGAAACGTAGGGCTTTCTCAAAATATAGCTTTTAATTTTTATGAGGTGAAATAGCCCTAGTGATTTTCATATTAAATGATTTACGTATGTAACGTATGTATGTAATGTACGTATGTATATTGTATAGCCTTTTGATAAAAATATTCCTAATAATCGATTAGATCAAATTAAATTTAACGTTTACCTTATTACCTTATATACGGAATAAAAGACTTTTGAAGACGATAAGTTGCCTCAATAATCAATTTTCAATTTAGAGTCAATTAATAATATTGAAACGAGCATTATGATTACGATGTAGTTAACTATGTTTACAGTTTACGAAGCCAGTAGCAATCTAATATTTACGAACCTATTCGTAAGTCTGTATTACAGCTGTTATAAAAGTCGTGACTCCGATTGAAGCCTTGATTTTCCTAAACAGGAAAAACCTACTTGTGGTCTGACAGCAGCCGTTTACTGTATAAATAAAATGATATAGATAGTCCCAGAATTTTTTTACATACAGGTAAAGTACTTGTATGAAAAACTTTTCTGGTATTGAACTGTTAATTACAATAGGTATGTACTACCAAAATGCAATTAAAAAATTAAAAAAACTATGGTAGGAACTCATAAAATATACTACTGTAAAATCGAAAACTCGATTTGAAAGCAAAAATAAAGTCATTCTGTCATGATTAATAACCAAAATAAATAACTATTTATGTCAAATATAATATTAATTAAAATTAACAAAAAGATTTTTTTATGAATAAAAAAACAAACGGCACTATGCCTGTATCGAAAATTATATTGTATTGAAATTAATTAGTAAGCGTTTATGTTTGATGATTATAATATTACTGGCCAGTTATAAAATAATCTAAATCTATAAAAAACATCTCTAACTCAGGATGTAATTTTTCTTGTTTTATTTCTTGAATGTAACACACAGTATTTTTGGTGTATCTAATAAATAGTAAATCACTATAGTAAAGTATAAATTACTAAAAGAATTGTTCAAGATAGGCACTTACCACTGAAGATGACTTCATTATAGCTTATCTGTGATATTTTTATCTTTGTTACAACGGCTCATATTCACATATTTCGGCCGAAGCAGACACGGCGCCGTGGCTTAGTTGGTTAAAGCGCCTGTCTAGTAAACAGGAGATCGTGAGTTCGAATCTCGCCGG